GTTTTCCAACAGGAAAAATATATTTTTAAATTTTTAGTTCGTTTTATTAACAAGTGAACAAAAATTGTATGTATTATTTATTTTATTTATTTCGTGTTTGTTTGCTTTGATCGTACTCTTTGTTTTATAGTTCAGATAGCGTCATGTTTATATATAAACCTAACATAATTCACTTGATAACAAAATTACATGGGAAGTGCAGAGTCAGGTCAGGTTCATTTTTCCTTTTTCCAAGCATCAAACGTGTTTGACACTGAGACGTTTTACATATTTTAACATTCTCTTCTAGGTTGTACATCTAAAGTACCTTGTACCTCAAAGGCAGGAATGAATAACAATAGTTTTGGTAAGAGTGATCGAAGAAATTTACTATTTTTTGGTGATGTACGTATTATTTATTTTATTTATTTCATGTGATTGGACTTTTTGTTTTATAGTTCATATGGCGTTATTTTTAGGTATAAACCTAACATAGTCTAATTGATAACAAAATTATATGGGAAGTGCAAAGTCAACCTCAAACATATTGGATAAGCAACTTCAGCCCCTTAATAGTGATTTGATCCTCCCCAGGCGCTTTGCGCACCTTCGGGTCTTTAATATGCTGCTATGCAATACGGGATGTCGGGAGATCACGCTGATGTGCTATGTAACTCTTCAGTTGAAGAACCTTCCGAAAAAGAATCTTCCGAAGAATAATCACTAATGGCGGCGCCCGATGGTCCCTTCCACAGCTCGCACATTTGCTCGCCTCTTGTCCTGTTTGAGGGCACAGAGATGTGCCATTTGGTCTTGAGCACATTTGAGACACTTTGGAGGTGCAGTGCAATACGACTGGGCATCTCCATACTTCAAACAGCGGTAACACTGCCCAATGAGTCGAAAATTCTTTTGAACCTCAACTCTGTTAAGAGCCCCAGCAGTTCATGTTCGTTGAACACTTGCTGTGTTTTAGGCAGGATCACCACTACCAAAGGCATGGACACGCCGCCGTTGCGCTTCAAGCGAATTACCTGGAGGAGAGTAAGAGCTCCTCCTTGATTTCCTGATAAGCAGTTGACGCTGGGATTCCTCTGATAACAGCGTGGATGTTACGCTCAGAGGGCAGAGGAACATTTTAATCTTTGAATAGACAAATTATCTTCCGATAATCGGCTTCGCTTTTAGGTAAGATGCGTATCCGAGCATCAACAGCTACGGCACGATCAATGTTAATACCAAGGCTGATAAAAGAATAATTGACAGTGCGCCTCTTTGCAGCATCCCGAGCACAGCACGTGTAAGACGCTTCTGACGGGGCGATTGTGCCTGCGTACTGAGAATAGCGTTAGATGACGGAGAGGTAGAGTTGCTGCCAGCCAAGGAAGCAGCATGTGATACTGAAATAGGGTTGCTAGATGCTTGCATTTGAGAGTGCTTTGGCTTTCTTGCAGAATCAGCAGAACAAACAGACACAGGCGGTGTTATGACCATTGAATTGGTATTGATTGGGGATTTCTTAGCCGGAAGGGAAGGATATTCGATATTCGTTGATTTCACGAATCTGTCGTTTTTAACGTCTCTGGATAGCGGTAAAATCACTACTCACTACTACATAGTCTTCTGTCTCTGTAAGTGGGGTAGGGCTGTCCTCGTGTCTTATATAGGGAGACTTAATAGAGCTATCATCACTGGACATGGATTGATTTAACGAAGTAGTAAGGCTAAAAACCTGGGCATTGAGATTGTCCACGCAGTCGGTCAGTTTCTTGATTTGAGCTGCCTGGTCAGCGATGATTTGGTGCAATCTCTGAAGCTGTCAAAATCTCACTAGGGTTCGTATTCTCCAACATCTCAGGTATGCCGCTATTTACTTCTGCTCCACTCGCAGTGCTGGAGGGGTCGCCTGGTGACCCAGGAGACTTGCATTCCATCTTATATTCGCCTTTTCTTTCAGCAAATTCTCAAAATTTTTAAAGAGCAAAAATCTGACAACTTGTCTTTTCCCTGTCTACAAGGCGATTCGCACACACTTATCTCTGGCACACACTTTCATGACACAAACCTCATCACAAGATCAGACCAACCACAGTGCGTCACATGGGACACCCCTAACTGTGAAACAAACATTCCAGTGGAGTGCCGGGAGTTCTCAGTGCAAAGACTTCTTTATGATGTATCGGCACTAGACCTTAAAAGTGCACTCACTACGAACCTCAGTAACACCGTACGGTTTCTTAAACCAATCAAATATGATTGCTTACTTTAAGATTATACTATATCGCAAAATAACTTAGTTGATCCATACTATACAGTGGAATTACACTCTTCCTAAATCTAGGGCAGGGTAGTTTGAAGTGACTCTTCAGTCAGTCATAAAGTGTTCACTTTTGTATAACGAGCGATCAAAGTAATCTAATCTGACATGTGCAGTGATTCAGAATAGAATGAGAAAACCAAAGAACGAATGAAGTACATACATATGAAACGAAAATTATAAAAAAGTACCTGATGAGTCCACAAATGAACAAATGAACAACAAGTAAACAGAATGCTTAATGCTGCACACGATTATACCAAAGATGAGCGGTCCGCTGTAGAGAAGAAGCTAATCAGGAATATCATCTGGGCCATTCGATGATCAAGTAGATATTAAGTAGCTACAGCTGAGCAGAAGATAAGAACGATCAGTCAGATGGGAATGGGGAAATTAGGAAAATTATCGCATTAAGACGAATGAAGGAGATTTAAGACCAACATTGTAAGTAAAATGCGTATTCTAGATGCAGACCCTAGAAGAGGTGAAGCCATCGGTGAGGCCATGGAACCAAAGACCAGTGTTATCTGATACCGTATATCATACTTCTGTTGCCGGAATTAGCTTGCTTATGGTCTGTCAAGTTTGACCTTGAAATGTAATGAACTCCACCACCGCGATAACCCATCTCGAAGTATTGTGCTTGTAACAACCAGAGACCGGAATAGATGTGAAACGGAGACTACCAGTAAAAGACCTGAGAATAACCGTAACGAGGTTGCGTATGGAGAATATCTATGAGGGAATTAAATCGCATTTATGTTCAGAATTATGCTAAAAATATTTAGGCCTAGCCTAAAGAACAATGTAGGAGTACAATATACGGCACTTTTTTGTGTAAGACCTAGTAGATAATAGCTCAACAACAACATAACTGAGAAAGGCCTTAAGCAGGGAACCATCAATGACAATACAGCTAGGGAAGATGCATCACAGGAGCATCTTATCAGGCACCGGTTGGTTAAGTCCAAAAAGATAATTGTTTAGACAGAGTTTAGCAAAAATATTTTCTAGAAGAGACGAATGCATAAGGCAAAGCGTCATCAATGGCGATACAGTTGCTTAGAGCCATAGAGAGAACGCAATACAGGGATGCCATATTATGGGGAACACGTTTGGTGGAATGTCATGATGAGAAAAGACAAAAGTGAGTGGGGTCCATAGAAGTATACGCATTGGCTGTGATAAGCAAGTTACTTCAATATTAGCGGAAAAATAAATGTCTGAAGTGAAGATTTAGGCTAGATGACCAAACATGTTCAAATGGTCACAAATGCTCAAATTGCATAACGCGAATCAAGGGAAGGAACGAGCATATGTGTGAGTAAGAGACGACGTAATAGAAGAAGACCTTTGTGAAACTGGGCGTCTACCTGACGTGCGAGTCAACGATACCAAGGATAAACCCTTTGTGTTAGTTAAGATGGTTACGCGGGGGGAGCTGATGATTAAACCAAATGAAAATTTTATTTTACATGAAAAGGGACTCTGTAATTAGTATCTTATTGGACAGGTAGAGAAATGGCCACAATTAGTGAAGAGTCTGATTTAAACACCGTGTGTTGAACCGCGAAACAGATAAAAATACTGTATATGATTCTACTACTACGAATTATATTCCATGCCTCGACTCGTAAATAGGGTACCTATTGTATTGTATCTTCTATACTGCGTCGATCACCCACTTTCAAGAAAAGGACCATACCCCGCCCAGCAGCGGGCACCCGGGCTGGTCGTGTCAACAGGATCATTCTTTTGTAGTGTGTCGAACGCACAACACGGTGCGTTTCGGTGTTTACCGTTTTTTAACTCAGCGTAAGTGGCGTACGGGGTACGCGCGTTTAACGATATTATGCCAAAAGTGCTAGTGGGTGACGTTGAACGGGACAAGATAAGGAAGTTGGAGAGACGATTGAGGAGGATGAAAGAATCATGTCGTGAACATGATTATGAGTATTCCTGCCGGGAGCAGTCACATAAAAAGAAAGACCGTGAGTCTAGGAAATCACGTCGAGTACGTAGGAAAAAATTTTCCACCCCGTCGGATTCGCATTCAAGCAGCTCCTCCCCGGTTAGGTCTAAGCGATTCCGAAGGATCATTTCTTCGGACGACGAGTCGAGTAGCTCGGAGGAGAACAGGAGGGTTAATGATTTTCCTCCCTTGGACACATTGGGAGATGACCTTTTATGCTTATTAGGTCCCAATCTAGCTAAGACCGAAAACAGGGGTCCGAAAATTCGGCCAGAATTGGCCGAGCGATGGATGGCAATCCTTACACAAGGTTTATCTACGGAGGATCGAGACTCGATTATAGCGGAATACCCTATTCCAGACAACTGTGTCAAATTGAACCCACCTAAGCTCAATGATGTCGTCAAGGCTGCATTCACAGATTCAGCAACACGACGAGACATACGTCTAGCTCTATTACAAACTCAAGTGGGAGCTGCTATCACCGCTCTAGGATTGGCTCTCACAGACCTATTACAACAAAATGAAGGGGGGGCCAATCGGATAAATATAAAGAGACTCAGTGATGCAGGTCGTCTATTAGGAGATCTTTTTCATTCGGAATCAAACTCTCGTAGAGAGCTTGCTACTATGGTGCTTAACAAGGAGTTGAAAGATACCCTCGATGAAACGGGTATAACAGAATGGCTCTTCGGTGATGACTTGGAGGAAAAAATAAAAGCATCAAAGAATATGCAAAAATCCGGGCAGGAACTAAAGCATCAAAAACCAAAACCGTCGAAAAATTTAAACTCCAAACGTCTGCCCAGAACTACGTTTGGGACTCGTCAGGGCAGACAACAAGTACAACAGTCCCAAGGCCAGCGCTACAGACCCTGGCAACAACAAGATCTCCGGCGCCGACAGTACTCGGACAAAAGGAACCAGCCATTGATGCCCAAGAGACGGGACACGCGGATTTAGAGTCCCAGGTGAGTGAAACCGCAGGACGGCTAAGACTTTTTCATGAGCAGTGGAAGCTTATTACATCTGATAAATGTATATTATCGTTTATTAAAGGGCTGACTATACCCTTTTGTAAAATGCCCCGTCAAAAAATTGTACCCAAAGAACCAAATTGGTCTCCCAGGGAAAAAAGGCAATTGGAGCATTGTTTAGTCGATCTTTTAAAGAAGGGTGCCATAAAGAAAGTTAGGCAATGTAAGGAACAATTTATATCAAACATTTTTTTAACCCCAAAAAGTGACGGTTCCTCCAGGCTGATTTTAAACCTAAGATCGCTTAATAAATATATTAAGAATAAACATTTTAAACTAGAGGACTATAAAACTGTTATGAAACTCATTAAAAAAGATTGCTTTATGGCCACCCTAGATTTAAAAGATGCATACTTTTTAGTATCCATTAACAAAAATCATAGAAAGTATTTGAGGTTCTATTTTAAGGGTATTTTATATCAATTCAATTGCCTACCTTTTGGCTTAAATTGTGCACCGAGAGTGTTTACGAAAATTATGAAGCCTGTTCTTTCCCACTTAAGAAGCAAGGGCTTAATTTCAAATCTGTATTTAGACGATTTTTGTCTTTTTGGAGACACTTTTGCGGAATGTCATAATAATGTGTTAGTAACATGTGATGTTCTTAACAGATTAGGCTTCATTATTAATTTTAAGAAAAGTTCTTTGACTCCTAAGCAAAGTTGTACATATCTCGGATTTAAATACGACTCTAATCAGCTCACCGTTGCCCTTCCGGAAGAGAAAATTCATCGGCTAATTAGATTAACAGACAATTGTCGGCAAAAAACTAGTTGCAAGATAAGGTACTTCTCGGCTTTTATTGGCTCTCTTGTTTCCTGTTGTCCAGTTATACCTTATGGGTGGCTTTATACAAAACTCTTCGAACGTGAAAAACTCGTAGCATTGAAGACATCTAAAGGCAACTTTAATTCTAAAATGAGGATCCCGGCTACATTATCTGACGATTTTTCATGGTGGCGCTCACACTTTAACTCTAAAAAATTACTAAGATCTCATAATTTTGTGATAGAAATTTTTTCAGATGCCTCTCGTACGGGATGGGGTATTTTTTGTGAAGGCAAGAGAGCACATGGCTACTGGTCAGAGGACGAAAAAAGTTATCATATAAATCACTTAGAGCTTCTAGCAGCTTTCTTTGGCTTAAAGTGTTTTGCCACCAAACTTTCAAACTGTTCTATTTTGTTGAGGATAGATAATAGGACCGCTATATCCTGCATAAATCGGATGGGTAGTGTTCGCTATCCAAAATTGAATAATATTTCTAGGAAGCTATGGCAATGGTGCGAAAGGAAGCGTATCCTTGTGTTCGCTTCATACATAAAATCCTCTGATAATTGGGAGGCAGATAAAGAATCAAGAATTACAGATTGTAAGACAGATTTTGAGCTGAACCCAGAGATATTCGAAAACATTGTCAAAATATTTAGTAAACCAGACATAGATTTATTTGCGAGTAGGATTAATACGAAATGTGAAAAATTTATATCATGGAAGGCAGACCCGGAAAGTTCCGGTGTCGACGCGTTTACATTAAATTGGAATAATCTAAATTTTTATGCATTCCCACCATTCTGTTTATTGACTAAAGTGTTACAAAAAATCGTGGAGGATAAGGCAGAAGGTATAGTAGTCGCACCCTTTTGGACTACCCAGCCGTGGTACCCATTATTTACTTCCTTGTTAATTCAGAATGCAGTTCTTTTCAAACCAAGTACCGACTTGATTTTATTTCCTGATAGGTCGCCGCACCCTCTTTGCAAACAACTTACCCTGGTGGTAGGGCGCTTATCAGGCAAGCGCTTCAGAGAGGAAAAGTTCCCGATGAAGCCCTAGATATATGTATGGCGTCCGTTACGAGTTCAACTTTACAGCAATATGATAGCGGGCTAAAACATTGGTGGAACTATTGCCAGGAACACAAGGTTGAAGTTCTGTCAGTGTCTATCGAACACCTAATTAAATTCTTAACAACATATTTTCTAAAAGGCTACTCAGCTGGAACGTTGAACTCGTACAGAGCAGCAATCATGCAAATAGCATACTCTGACCTCTCTAATGACTTTAGGCTTAAGAGATTTTTTAAGGGGATTTACGGACTCCGGCCGAACTTGCCTAAGTACGAAGCTACCTGGGACCCTTCAATAGTACTAGGGTTTTTAGGGAAACAAATTAACAACGAGTTGCATTTGCAGGATTTAGCTCGGAAAACTTTAGTCCTTTTACTTCTGGCAACAGGTCAACGTTTACAATCCTTGGCAAACATAGAACACTGTAATATTACAGAAAGCTCCGAGGGTCTAAATATTAAAATTCCAAAAAGGCTAAAAACATCTGGGCGTAATAAATATCAACCAAATATTTCCATTCCCTTCTTCAAAAATAATAAACAGATCTGTGTTGCAAACACAGTAAAATTATACCTAGAAAGAACACGTTCCCAGAGAAACAAGGAGACAAACAACTTATTTATAACCCACAAAAGACCCTTTAGGAATGCATCAACACAAACGTTATCTCGTTGGGTGAAAGATATTCTTGCTAAGAGCGGTATCGATACCAAAATATTTACAGCCCATAGTACCAGACACGCGTCTACCTCAGCGGCGGCCCGGAAGGGTGTAGGGATCGATGTAATTAGGCGTTCGGCCGGATGGTCGGAAAAGTCAGGAACCTTTGCGAGGTTTTACCAGAGACCGTTACATAATAATAACTTTTGTCAAGTAGTCTTAGATGATTAGATACTTTACAGATTAGATGTTTTACCTTGTTTGGTCAAATATCTCTTATATGTTTACATAAATAGGAATAATCTCATTAGTTTGCAGAGGTCTAGGTTTACAGTTTTGTTATCAGTTTCTGTTAGACTGATCTATTATTATTACTATTTTCAATAAAAATATATTAATCATGATTTAATAAAAAGACATTTTCGAGTTCGTGACAAATTCTTTCCTAGCTCCTCTCTACAGGACATAAAGAATATGTATCTATAGGTATGTACAGATATAGGTATGGATATAATATGGGGTTCTTGGCAGAATATCGTAAAATTGTTGCATGTGTTAGCTTTGAACATCTACAATAGGTACCCTATTTACGAGTCGAGGCATGGAATATAATTAATAGATCAAACGAACTTACCTAAGTGACGTTCGATCTGAATTATATCCATCCCTCGACGAAGTAAATAGGCTCCCGCCCGTCCCTACCAAAATTAGGATTAATTTAGGGCTCCCCTAACATGCAACAACTGAGTGGCTTTGTAAAGAATGATCCTGTTGACACGACCAGCCCGGGTGCCCGCTGCTGGGCGGGGTATGGTCCTTTTCTTGAAAGTGTGTGATCGACGCAGTATAGAAGATACAATACAATAGGTACCCTATTTACTTCGTCGAGGGATGGATATAATTCAGATCGAACGTCACTTAGGTAAGTTCGTTTGATCTATTAATTTCAATCACATCGACATATCGAAGCACACACTTTTCGAACAAGGTTTAGTACAGTATTACAAATTTTCGTTAATGTGGGAACTTAGCTGCCTTATGCGTCACCACAATAAATACTAAAAATCGTGAAGATACTGCTATACCTTTGATTTTAGTGGAAGGGGTAGACGAGACAAATTGAAACGACATGAAGCGACATTGACATTTCATATCAGGTGATTTATTACAGGGTCACCAAGTCCTAGATGACATGGCCATCGATTAGACGTACGTACGAGCCTTTTTACTCTGAATGTTGCTTAGGCATTTACACTGGACGGTATACACAGACCTAGTAGATAAGAGTTCACTATTCGGCGACGACTTTTGCTGGGAAAGGCAAATACGTAAAGCAGCAGACCGTCAATAATACGGCTAGACCTACTGAGGCTTGTTTCTTTCAATGAATGAATCGAACTAGATCACCAAGTATACCCAAAGAAAGCTTCGACACTTTGCTCAGCCAATTTGGCGATTGTTTTGTTAGCATTGGGCGCTGGGAGTTGAGCTGCCCTTATTTTTTAAACTCTCTATTGTTTTATCAAAAGAAACACTACGATGTGTAAAGCCTTCCAATTTTCTGATACCTTGTTCTGTACGTACGTCTAATTCCCTTTTAGTAGGTATAAAATTAACCGAAAGGAAAACTTATCTGGCGTCTTCTAATTTTTCACCCCTCACGTTCGTGACTGGAATCTAGTGTGGATGTTTTTTCTGGAACTAATGGGTAAGAGTTCTCTAAAGGATAAACGTTGACACTAACTTCGAGGACGATATTCTTTACGATCAAACATTAAAGTCAGAAGGTTGCTTAATAATACTTTGAATACACCAACGTTTAGCAACAAGTGACAATGTAATAACAATCATTAGAATCGGTACTACAGCAGATAAAGACTCAAAGTGATAAATTATTCTAGGTCATCCAGGTGCCACTGAAGGAGGTACATTTCAGCTTCAGAGGGAGATATTACAAAATAGGGTGGACCTGGTGTGACATGAGGCATTACAGGGAATTGAGAGCCACTTGTCACTTGTACAAGTTAACAATAGCTTTCAACGTCACAAAAATGTGAAATTACCATCTTATGATTTCAGTCAAAGGATCTGTAAAAAATCAATTCACTAAACGCCTACTTGAGCGGGAAGCAAAATTAATTTTCAGTATACTGTCTATTGACTACAGTTCTATGTATTCCACTTTTGATAACTCCACCCCAACTATCGTGACTGCTATCGAAGAAAGAAATGCTTTCACCCGCTTTTAAAGAGTGGGAGCGGTCAAAACAACACCTTCCTCTGTTTTCGACATCTTGATCGATTTATTTGATTACCAATAGAGTGATAGTGGTCAGTGAAAGGGCATAATGAAATACAAGGGGAAATCCATTTCAGTGAGGGTGATAAGTACTTGGGGGTTTGCCGTTTTATTTATGCTTCGTGGATAACTTCCTCGTCATTGGTTAAGCTGTATTATTTCTATTGTTTTATTGAAACGTTGCTTCAACAAATGCAAAATGATAGTCAAAGGAATCAGAGAGATGATAACAAAGGTAGGTAATTACGTGACATATATATTGAGAATTCGTACAAAACTTTACTTAACGTAAAATGCATAAACTCAATGACCATTGCATCTAAAAGACACCTGATTTAAATGTACAATGCTTTTCCTAGTCCACCAGAGCATCGAAGTTATCCGCCATGTTAATGTTTGGATTAGAAAAAATGATAATGCGGGGTAAATAATGGAGTATTTTCCAAAAAAAAATTTTGGTTCCAAATTGAAGTTTTACATCTAAAAATTATATATTGAGTAATTTTACATTTATCTTTGAACAAGAAGTAACAAAAACTCGGCTTCAAAGTTTAAAAATAAAATTTGCCGCCAACTGTGTGACGTAATAATGTCTTGCGTGACGTAGTAATATTTTCTCCGCCCCCTTCTTAGAATGTGACTCTACATTTGTTCGGCGATTACAGTGTGACAAGGACAGGAGATATTCCCATTTTGTTCTACAGACTCGTCCGGAGCAATTTGCTTTTTTGACAGATAATTTAAAGGTTATAACGCATTCTGGCGTTGTTGTTGACGATTTGGTATTGTGATTTAGTTTGTGGAATTTAGCTTTTTAAATACACAATTAAAATATGGAACAAAACTTCGTGAAAGCATATTCTTCGAATTTACTGAAAGTAGATTACGAGATGATCGATGAATACTATCGACACAATGATGACTTTGTCAAAGCAAATGTGAGAAATGTGAAAACACAAAGGTGGGTACTTTTTCGATTGTGAGGAAATATATTTTAATAACCATTTTGTTCCTAGAAGTGGCAAGCAATCGTATGGAGATGAAGCCATCGGATTTGTCCAGCTGATGCGAGAGGGATCAATATGTACTGTAAAGTGCCAAGTAACTTCCGAACACAAGATCCACGAAAAAGGATATCAGGTGACAATCTGCATTAATGAGGCTGAAGAGAAGATTACACATAGTGTGTGTCATAGCTGCCCAGCTAGTGAAGGTATTGAGTTTAATAATTCCTTGTGTCTTTATAATATACTATATTTTAATTTCTAGGAGGGTGCAAGCATGGTGTAGCTCTGATGTTTTGGCTACTACGACGTTCTACAGAACCTTCTGTAACAAGTGTTGAGTGCTACTGGCGAAAACCGACTTTAGCAAAAGTAGGTTCTTCATTGAAAGCAGCAAAATTGAACGAGCTATTTAAGAATGTTCCCCCAGTTGCATCACACAATAATTCCTTCTTAAAAAAACTATTAGAAAAAGGATTAGAAAACAAAAGCAAGGGTATTTTATTTGAATACTACAAAACTGAAGAGAATGCTATTGATAAAATATCCCTATATCATTTAATAAATAATTTTGTAAGAAACAGTAGCAGCATCACTGCTGAAAATTTTATTCAGTATTGTCAGCAACAAATGAATGATCAGCCTTGTAAAGAAATTTTAAATCAAACAAAAGATCAATCCAATACTGGTACATGGTTTGAGATAAGGTATGCACGTATTACTGCATCGAAGTTTTATGAAGCAGCACAGAGTACAACATATGATGGATGTTTAGTGGAGTCAATTTTGGGTGCAGCAAAATTCAAGTGCACAAAGGCTATGAAGAGGGGATTATCATTAGAGGATAAAGTATTGAAGGTTGTGGCAAGAAAGAAACTAATAAAAGTAGAAAAGTAGGAATATTTGTAGACAAGAGATATCCTATATTTGGAGCTAGCCCTGATGCTGTAAATGCTGAGTTCTGTATTGAAATAAAGTGCCCATCAAAAGAATCGACACTTAAGTAATACTTAAA